CTGCTTTCAAACAAATCTCTGCAGCATTAGTAAAGATATGATCAATACATGTTGATGATTTAATTCCTGTACTGTTTGTAACCACCCTGGCAGGTTGACTGATAACCTGAACCAGGTTGCAGGTACTGGTTACAGTTTGAAGCTTTCTCTTGAGTGGGCAGCTTGATGACAGCCAGTCAATATTTAAATCACCCAGAAATGATACCTCTCTATTGATATCACATACATTATCAAGCATTTCACACATTATCCAGATACTGACTGTTAGCACTTGGTGGTCTATAGCAGCTTCCCACCAGAATTGGCTTTAGGTGAGGCAGATGAACCTGTAGCCATATTACTTCAACAGTATTTAACATGAGATCCTCTCTAATCTTCACAGGAATGTTGTTCTGTATATAAACAGCAACACCCTCCACCATTGGCATTTCTATATTTTCTGTAAATGTTATAACCTTGTATTGCTACCACTGTATCATCAAAGGTATTATCTAAGTGAGTTTCAGAGATAGTCAGAATATGAATGTCATCTGTTACTAGCAAATTATTGATTTCATGAACCTTGTTTCTTAAGCTACATATGTGAACATGGGCTATTTTGAGCACTTTTCTTCTGGAATGCTTACTTGTTTTTATTGCTTTACTGGGAAGCTTAGCAGCAGTAGATGTGCTCATGTTCTTTATGTTAGTGCAGGGTGAGCTGCACACAGTGGACTGCCTCCTCGGGTACACCGGATCAGTGCTGTACAGTATAAATCTGGTTCTTAAGCACATGATTACTGCACACAATAGCTGTAGGATCAGCGGTGGCATTCAGGGCAGTTAGAGGGACATAAATTAGATTACTTATATTGTGACTACTGACGCCACTGATGTAATGTACATTTGCTGAAGCATTTTGACAACTCTGCATCACAATGGTAGGGATTAGCTGATCTGGGCTTGGGTCATTGCTAAATCATTGTCTCAACGCAGCCTTATAATGCTGTGAAAGGATCCAGGAACCCAAATGATTTGGGTGGATCCCATCCTCCTTATAAAACGTGTTTTGTTTCCAAAAGGTATCGAAATTGTCAACAAAAGTTACACCCATTGAGCTGCAATAATCACGTAGCCAGTTGTGAAGAGCAAGAATCCTGCTAAAGCGTTCAATGCCACAATTCAGAGAAGGCACAGGGCCAGATATGATGGGTTTTTTGTTAGTGTCTAGCAGAGAGTCAATCAGCTCTTTAAAATCCAGTTTCAACTGTTCAGAGCTGCCCTTCATAATGTCCTTAAAACCCACATGAACAAATAGTTATATTGACTACGTCCATCTTAGCTCGCTCATTAATGTCTTAATCGAAATTACGGATTGCCTCTTATCCGCTCATCGTTCCCTTATGCCATAGTTCGTACATCTCAATTGTCAGAAGAAACCACATTTGTTTAAGCAAGTCAGCCATATCAGCTATGTTTTTTAAAAAGGCAGTAAATGAGGCTGAATGAACTGTGTGTGCAGACGGAATAAATATGTTGTGGAAGAGTCCGTGGATACACTGTGCTGCAATTGTGGTGGGAACCACGTTCCCGAGTTCCAAGAATGCACTGTAAGGGTGAAGGTGGTCGAAGTAGCAAGAATACGGGCTGTCCACCAGGTCTCCTATGCAGAGGCAGTGCAAATAGCCCAAGCAAGTGCAAAAAGGGGTGTAAAGTACTTAAGTAAAAATTATTTAAAGTACTACTTAAGTAGTTTCTTCGGGTATCTGTACTTTACTTTAGTTTTTATATTTTTAAAATGTTTACTTCACTACATTCCTAAAGAAAATAATGTACTTTGTACTTCATACATTTTCCCTGACACCCCAAAATTCGTGTTACATTTCATAGTAGGACAGGAAAATTGGCCAATTCACACACTTATCGAGAGAACATCCCTACCGCTTCTGATCTGGCGGACTCACTAAATACAAATGTTTTGTTTGTAAATTATGTCTGAGTGTTGGAGTGTGCCCTGGCTATTCGTACATTTTAAAAAATCCAGAAAATCATTCCATAATATAAGGAATGTGAAATTATTTATACTTAAGTATATTTTAGCAATTACATTTGATACTTACATTTAAGTAATTTAGCAGACTCTTATCCAGAGCGACTGACAGTTAGTGAGTGCATACATAATTTTTTATACTGGCCCCCCGTGGGAAACGAACCCACAACCCTGGCGTTGCAAACGCCATGCACTACCAACTGAGCTACATTCCCTCCCCTACACTGGACGACTTGTGCGCCGCCCCATGGGTCTCCCGGTCGCGGCCGGCTACGACAGAGCCTGGATTCGAACCAGGATCTCTAATGGCACAGTGATGCAGTGCCTTAGACCACTGCGCCAAATACTTTTAGACAGTTACTCAATTAGTATTTTACTGGGTGATTTTCACTTTTACTTGAGTGATATTCTATAAAGGTATCCAGTGGCGATTTTAGCATGTAAATCTTGGTGTGACAAAAAAATAAATAAAGTGGGATGCATGCCAGCAAAGGCACTACCCAACACAACACTAAACAATACATGAATTGCACTATAACGGAGACAAACGGTGCCCACAAACTTTTAGGGCCTACATAATGCTGTCCCAACAGCAGTCCCGACACCTTACCACTGCTACCAGCGGAGCCTTGTCTGGCAGCGAAACAGTTCATTCAGCCTAATTTACTGCCTTAAAAAAAAAAACATACCTAATATGGCTGACTTGCTTAAACAAATGTGGTTTCTACTGACAATCGAGATGTACAAACTATGGCATAAACGGACAACAAGAGGATAAGAGGCAATCCGTAATATCAATTAAGACATTAATGAGCGAGCTACGATGGACGTAGTCAATATAACAATTTGTTCAGCACTTTTGAAATGTACAGCGACAGAATTCAGAATATGGGCAGTTCTTACAGTGTTCTCCCTGTACACCAAGTCAGAACCGTAGGATAAATAAAGGGGGCATATAAGCAGACAATGAAAGCTTGTACAATATTCGATGATGACATTTCTCTAAAACAGGTTATAGGCTACATGTGCACCACCAAGTTAGAACAGTAGGCGAAATTAAGAGGTGAAAATATACCAAATTATTAGGGTGAGGCACATGGATCACCGTTTGGGTCTTTGCGTGTCAAAAAAGATACACGTCACATAATACTATTTGACGCGTTAAATAAGCTTTTAATTTGACACGTCAAATAACACAATTATATTATAGAATGTTGTGTGTGCTGAATGTGCATGTGCAAGCCAAGCGCCACCACTACTATCAGTGATTTTTGCCAAAAAATGTGGGGCTCAAAACATGCCCTGAATGACGGGTCGCCACTGAAGGTATCTTTACTTTTAAAGTAAAGATACCTTGACAATTGGGTATTTTTTGAACCACTGAGAGCAAATGTGGAAGACATGGCAATGGATGCCCCGCAGTCTGCATAAAGTGTTGCTCATCAGTTGAGGGATCCTGAAAGTGTAGAAGGTTGATTTTGTTGCGTTTATTGCGCAGGTGATGACTTGTACAAGTCAAACTATGAGTATGTTTTTGTTTTTTTCCCCGTGTTTTTCTGCGTTAAAGTTCCCCAGTTTTCACCCCACACAGTAGGTGGCGGCATGCACCTATAACGTCTGTTTGCAGACTGCCATAATACCATAGAAGAAGACCACCACCACCAGTAGGGACTGAAGAACCTAGCCAGTACCAAATAAAGATTTGAGGCCGGAACTTAGTGTACAGTACTTGTTGTAGTGGGGATCTATTTGACGCCCTTAAGTATTTTCGGAAATAACACATGCAAGGGTATTCTTTACTGTTTTTACATAAAATGTGTCATTACTACACATCTTGAAGGTAAGATCATATATTTTTCTTGGTGCTATTTATACACGATTTGTGTGGCTGTCATCTGGACCATGCCACCAAATGGTTAGCTAACTTTCCTGTGGTCCGTCGCGCGATAGCAATACGAGTTGCCTCTCTGCGCTCTTGCACGTTAAATTGTCAATGATTTGTTTAATATACTTTAGAAACTCATCCAAGTAAAGATGTTACTACTGTGCTGGAGAAAAACAAAATGTAGCTCTGGTTGATGCGCAATATTGCTTGCGCATGGACCAGAACTAAAAAAGCTACCTAGGCTAACGTCTGGAGAGTCAGAAATACTTGTTAGCTAACGTTAAGTAACAGTGATAGAAAGTTATTGTTCACTGGCATTATTGCTCTTCAATGCCTCTAATATTTGATGCTGTTTATCGCTCGTTTGACAGTGACAACATACCTGCACTCAAGCATGAACGTGAACCAGGTCCAGGGGACGGTGTGGAGTGACCCGGTGATTCTAGCCACCGCTGGATATCACCACACAGTGCGGTTCTGGCAGGCCCACAGCGGCATCTGAACCAGGACAGTCCAGCACCAGGACTCTGTATCCTTACCTTCACCTGTTTCACACAAATTCATCAAGACAGACCTTTCTTGCTGATTTAGCCTTCATTTAGTTTCTAGACCCCCAGTCGTTGTTTGTCGTAACAACTTAGAAAGTGCTCCAAGTCTCCTTCATTGGAGATATTTTTGTGAACATCCCAGTGAGCACAATACTTTGAAAATATGTTTTTTGCTCAAAGGGATGTTGTTGCACAATGATTATAGCTAGCTACATTTAATAGGGTTGTTGTTGCACAATGATTATAGCTAGCTACCTTTTAATAGGGATGTTGTTGCACAATGATTATAGCTAGCTACCTTTCATTATTTTCTTAACCAAAACTTTCAGCAAGTGAACTGCCTCGAAGTTATTCCCGACAGAAGTATGATTGCAGCTGCAGGTTTGTGCAGAAATAAAATATGCAAAACCATACTCATCATAATTATCATCATCATTAACGTGGACTTGACTGTGTGTCTTGTGTTCTGTTCCTAAGGTTATCAACACATCCGTATGTATGATCTAAACTCCCAACAACCCAAACCCAGTCATAAACTATGATGGTGTCAGTAAGAACATTACATCAGTGGGCTTCCATGAGGATGGCTGCTGGATGTACACAGGAGGAGAGGACTGCATGGCTCGCATCTGGGACCTGAGGTATGGTTGATGATACTGTCTGCCTGCCTGTCTGTCTGCCTGTTATGGCATTCTCACCAAGCTGAACATTGCTCTGGTACAAGGTCAAGGAACCTGCAATGCCAGAGGATCTTTCAGGTCAATGCTCCCATCAACTGTGTGTCTTCATCCCAACCAGAGCATATGAGCGGAGTGGAGCGGTGAGAATCTCAGCTCCTCGCTCACGGAGCTGTTCACCCCTCCGCTCCCCCCGCTCAAAGCCACATCAGGCCAGTCCGCTCATTATCGCTCAGCGCTCAACGAAGTTTGCATCGCGCTCCACTCAAATCGCCCTCTCGCTCGCTCCAAAAAAGGAAAAAAATCTGCATGTATTTCACTTTTAGCTTAAACCACAGCCTTACCTCCCAAAGAACTAAAGAGCAACGACAACATTTTCCAAATAGAAATGTTTTATTTCAAATTACAAATTAGGCCTAGCCTATGTAAGAAGGAATATACACAAAAAGTCCTGTAAAATTAAACGAATCAATGGGCCTAATTATATAAATAAAAATATACAGGCTATACATCAAAGTTTTAAAAGTAAATTAACTATTAGGCCAAAATTCTGATAACTGAACTTTTGCGCAGCTTGCACGTGGATTAAAATTAAAATTGTCTTATATCCATTGTCAAACTTTAAAATAAAATTTAAAAAAATGAATTGCTTTCCTTATCTACAGTTCTTTTGAGTTCACCTTCAAGAACACAAGTTTGGCCAATGTCTGAGGCTTCAGACTCATGCGGTGGTTTCTTGACAGCAGGCCAGCAGCGGAGAAAACCCTCTCTGTGCTCGCAGACCCGCTTGGGATGCTGAACACAATGCGAGCTACTTTAGCCAGGCGGGGAAAAGACGTGGAGTTTTCTTTCCAAAATCGAATAACATCTGCGTCTGGGTTCTGTCTCGGGGATGAGAGGTAATTTTCGACTTCACCTTTGGCGTCTCCGGTTATGCGTAGCTGCTCGCTGAAGTATGACCCGAACAGGCGAGCTCTTTTTGGTTCAGGCTCGGGATTCAGGTCAGCGGCGGGTGGGGTGTCTGTCTCGTGTGTCCCGCTGGGAGCATTCATTGCCTCAACTTCTTTTATGAGGAGGTCGCGGATCTCCCCGAGTTTGTTGCATACAGACTCATCTCGGATTATCCATTCTGTCTTGAAACGGGGATCTAACACTGATGCTAAAATGAGATGTTTATCAGTATAGCATATTCCATAGCGAATTGACACGTTGTTTGCCAATGTTTCTGCAAAAGCAGAGATGCCCATTGAAAGTGCAGCGTGAGTGTCATCGGTGAGCAGGGATTTGATTTCTGTGACAGCAGGGAGGATCATCCCCAGGTTCCCCGTTCCTTCTGCATTTTGTCTGTGAGATCTGCTAGTGGTGTCAGTACACTGACAAGGTGCGTCAGCTGCTGTACTTGATTCAGGGTGATGTTAGCAACATTAGACTTGAGTTTGTTTTGCCATAACGGGTCTTTTTGGAACAACCGGATTAACGACTTTTTCATCCGCAGCTGGCTGCTCCATCGAGTGGCGCAGGCATTTGTGGGGCGGACACCTAATTGGTCGGTTTCCTCTGTGTTCAGGGTGCTCTTGCGTACACTTTTCACCAGGTGCCCGACTTTCACTAACAGCCTATTAATGTTGTCGTGCTCGTTAATGGCGTCTTTGATCGCCAGCTGAAGCATGTGAATGGGGCATCTCAGATGTAAATTTGACACAGTAAAGTACTGATTTATCATAGTTTCTACATTAGAGGTTATCACTTCCACATGGACTTGCGAGGGCGCAGGTGGTCCCTCATCCTCCTCTTCATGTTCTGCACTGCTGCTGGCATCCGCGGTCACTTCACCCTCCGCCTCCTCTTCAGTGCCAGGGAGGAGGTTAAATGCCTTGATCATGTTGCTGGCACTGTCAGTGACGACCCGAATCACACGTCGTTGCACGTTCCAATATTTCAGTACACTTTCATACTTTTGGTAAATACGATCTGCGGTATGGTGCCCCTGTATGTGCTCACAGCCCAACAAAACCGTGTGCCCCCGGAACGTCCCATCAATGAAACTGGCCACGATGCCAAGGAAGCTGTGCCCTCTTCTACTGGTCCAAATGTCCGCAGACAGAACGAGCCCATCACCATTTTGCAGTAGGTCTTGCAGTTTGGCTTCCATCTCTTCCAGGGCATGTGGCATGAGTGTGTCCCGTACGGTGTTGTAGCATGGGGGGGTGTAGCCCGGTTGAGCTGCGCTGGCGAAGTGTTGCATCCCTTCGCGTTCTCCTTTACTCAGCGGTTCATAGTCCATGTAAATCATTTTTAAAAATGCTACATCCAGCTCTCTTTTTCTCTCCCTTGTTATGGTTGGGCCTTTGCGTGCAGTGAAGAAACTTTTGAATTCCTCAACCCTTTTCTCTTGTTGCTGCTGCTGCTCCTCTTGCTCTATAAAATACAAATTCATGGACGACACAAATTAAATTAAACAAACCATATATTAGGCCTACTTTGAATGACAAAACAAATTTGTTTGAATATTAGGCTATATTTACTTTACACTTTTGTTACAAGTTACCCTATTCAACTTGCTAACCTTTTGCTTTCTTCCCAGCGTGTTCACGTAGCACACTTTCGTGTTTTCGAGAGATGTGTCTTTTTAGATTCCAAAATGAATCTTTACTGACTGAAACGATGTCACCACATTCTTTTTCTTGAACCACATTATCATTGTTAGTTAGTTTTATATTAATAGTACACCTGTATGACTTCTCATTTTCCTTTTTGAAGTACTTGGTGAACTCCATTATTGAGCCGAGTTTTGACTGAAAATAGTCTACTGTTGATGACTGTGCAAGACACAGATGGATTCTGGGTCAGGCTTGAGCATGCTTCAGACTCGTGGTGTGAGCAGAGCGAAATTGGAGCGGGACATAGGGCGACGCTCTGTCCTTTTAAAAATGCCGCTCTGCGCTCTGTCCAAAATCCGTCCGCTCGCGCTCCCCGCTCGCTCCCGCTCCACTCCGCTCACATGCTCTGATCCCAACCAGGTAAGTCAGTGTCTCAAAAGCGATTCGATATATGCCACCACTAGAGGGTGCACTGTTACTGATACTGTACTGTCAGCGTTGTACTGTAACTGTTGATAAACACCTAGGCTAATCCTTGCCTTCTTTAAACTCTGCTTATTGTATCTAATTGATTCTCAATCGGGCTTGTGTATTTTCCAGGCTGGGGACCAGAGCGGTGTGATCCATATCTGGGATCTGAAGACTGATCACAATGAGCAGCTTATTCCTGAACCAGATGTGTCCATCAACTCAGTCCACATCGACCCTGACGCCAGCTACATGGCAGCAGTCAATAGCTCGGTCAGTATGCTTAACAAGTTAATTATGTTATACTGGACTGTACACTCTAATACATAATATACACTGAACAAAAATATAAATGCAACATGTAAAGTGTTGGTACCATGTTTCATGAGCTGAAATAAAATATTCCAGAAATGTTCATATGTATATGCACAAAAAGTTTATTTCTCTCAAATGTTGTGCACAATTTTGTTTACATCACTGTTAGTGAGCATGTCTCCTTTGCCAAGATAATCCGTCCACCTGACAGGTGTGGCATATCAAGAAGCTGATTAAATAGAGCTTCAATGCCATACAACACTCCTTCCGTGGCCTCCAACTGCTCTTAAACGCTAGTAAAACTAAATGCATGCTCTTCAATCGAACGCTGCTTGCACCCGCCCGCCCGACTAGAATCACTACTCTCAGCGGGTCTGACTTAGAATATGTGGACAACTACAAATACCTAGGTGTCTGGTTAGACCGTAAACTCTCCTTCCAGACTCACATTAAGCATCTCCAATCCAAAGTTCAATCTAGAATCAGCTTCCTATTTCGCAACAAAGCCTCCTTCACTCATGCTGCTAAACATGCCCTCGTAAAACTGACTATCCTACCGATCCTTGACTTCGGCGATGTCATTTACAAAATAGCCTCCAACACTCTACTCAGCAAATTGGATGTAGTCTATCACAGTGCCATCCGTTTTGTCACCAAAGCCCCATATACTACCCACCATTGTGACCTGTACGCTCTTGTTGGCTGGCCCTCATTACATATTCGTCGCCAAACCCACTGGGTCCAGGTCATCTATAAATCACTTCTAGGAAAATCCCTGCCTTATCTTAGATCATTGGTCACCATAGCAACACCCACCCATAGTATGCGCTCCAGCAGGTATATCTCACTGGTCATCCCCAAAGCCAACACCTCCTTTGGCCGCCATTCCTTCCAGTTCTTTGCTGCAATTTACTGGAACGAACTGCAAAAATCTCTGAAGCTGGAGACTCTTATCTCCCTCACTAACTTTAAGCATAAGTTGTCAGAGCAGCTTACCGATCACTGCACCTGTACACAGCCCATCTGTAATTAGCCCACCCATCTACCTCATCCCCAAATTGTTATTTACATTGTTATTTATTTTGCTAATTTGCACCCCAGTATCTCCATTTGTACATCATCTTCTGCACATCTATCACTCCAGTGTTAATACTAAATTGTAATTATTTTGCACTATGGCCTATTTATTGCCTTACCTCCATAACTTACTACATTTGCACACACTGTATATAGATTTTCTATTGTGTTATTGATCGTGTACGTTTTGTTTATTCCATATGTAACTCTGTGTTGTTGTTTTTTTGGCCAGGTCGCAGTTGTAAATGAGAACTTGTTCTCAACTGGCTTACCTGGTTAAATAAAGGTGAAATAAATAAAATAAAAATAAAAATAGCATGAGCATTACACAGGTGTACCTTGTGCTGGGGACAATAAAAGGCCACTCTAAAGTGCAGTTTTGTCACACAACACAATGCTACAGACGTCTCAAGTTTTGAGGGAGCGTGCAATTGGCATGCTGACTGTAGGAATATCCACCAGAGCTGTTGCCAGAGAATGTTATGTTAATTTCTCTACCATAAGCCCGCTCCAACGTCGTTGTAGAGAATTTGGCAGTACATCCAACCAGCCTGACAACCGCAGACCACGTGTAACCACACCAGCCCAGGACCTCCACATCCGGCTTCTTCACCTGCGGGATCGTCTGAGACCAGCCACCCAGACAGCTGATGAAACTGTGGGTTTGCACAACTGAAGAATTTCTGCACAAACTGTCAGAAACCGTCTCAGGGAAGCTCATCTGCATGCTCGTCGTCCTCACCAGGGTCTTGACCTGATTGCAGTTCGGCATCGTAACCAACTTCAGTGGGAAAATGCGCACCTTCGAAGGCCGCTGGCACGCTGGAGAAGTGTGCTCTTCACGGATGAATCCCGGTTTCAACTGTACTGGGCAGATGGCGTTGTGTGTGCGAGCAGTTTGCTGATGTCAATGTTGTGAACAGAGTGCTGGTGGGGTTATAGTATGGGCAGGCATAAACTACGGACAATGAACACAATAGCATTTTATCGATGGCAATTTTAAATGCACAGAGATACCGTGACGAGATCCTCAGGCCCATTGTCGTGCCATTCATCCACCGCCATCTCCTCATGTTCCAGCATGATAATGCACGACCCCATGTCGCAAGGATCTGTACACAATTCCTGGAAGCTCAAAATGTCCCAGTTCTTCCATGGCCTGCAAACTCACCAGACATGTCACCCATTTAGCATGTTTGGGATGCTCTGGATCGACGTGTACGACAGCGTGTTCCAGTTCCCGCCAATATCCAGTAACTTCACACAGCCATTGAAGAGGAGTGGGACAACATTCCACAGGCCACAATCAACAGCCTGATAAACTCTATGCGAAGGAGATGTCACGCTACATGAGGCAAATGGTGGTCACACCAGATACTGACTGGTTTTCTGATCCACACCCCTACCTTTTTTCTAAAGGTATCTCTGACCCACAGATGCATATCTGTATTCCCAGTCATGTAAAATCCATAGATTAGGGCCTAATGAATTTATTTCATTTGACTGATTTTCCTTTTATATGAACTGTAACTCAGTAAAATCTTGAAATTGTTACATGTTGTGTTTATATTTTTGTTCAGTGTAGTAATTGTGATCTCGCTCCACCTCACAGGGAAACTGTTACGTGTGGAACCTGGCAGGAGGGATAGGTGACGAGGTGACATAGCTAATCCCCAAAACCAAGATCCCCGCTCATAAGCGCTATTCCCTCCGCTGCAAATTCAGCCCTGATTCTACATGAGTGCACCACACAACACACACGTTTGAAGGAATGTGTGCATAATACAACATATACTAATCTGTAGTAGTCAGATTTGATTGCATGTCTTGTATAGTTTAGGTATGTGACTTAACTGTGTCTTTCCTCACAGGCTGCTGGCGACCTGCTCGGCAGACCAGATGTGTAAGATCTGGACAACATCTAACTTCTCTCTGATGACGGAGCTGAGTATCAAGAGTAACAACCCTGGAGAGACGTCCCGAGGCTGGATGTGAGACTGTCTTCTCTGGAGATGTCAGTGCTACATTCCTTCCTGTGTGTTGTATTATGGTAATAATACAATCATTACTAAATTAGTTGTGTATTTACACTTTATCTAGTACTGTTCCAGGAGAGCTCTGTTCCAGGAGAGCTCTGTTCCAGGAGAGCTCTGTTCCTGGAGGTTTTCACTCCAACCTTAATCTAGCACACCTGATTCTAATAATTAGCTGGTTGATAAGCTGAATCAGGTTAGTTACAACTGGGGTTTGAGCGAAAACCTACAGGAGGGTAGCTCTCCAGGAACAGGGTTGGAGAGCCCTGATCTAGAGTAAGTGATCGTTTTTGCAGTTGGAAAGGGACTGACTTCCATCCTAGTGTGGCTAGATTAAGTTAACTGACTTTGGGCAGTTCTGACGTATGCTCTAAAGGACCGATGAGTAAATGTGTGATGTATGCCTTGCAGCCTCTTCTGACAACCTGGCACGGCTGTGGTGTGTGGAGACTGGGGAGATTAAGAGGGAGTACAGCGGCCATCAGAAGGCTGTGGTGGGTCTGGTCTTCAACGACAGCGTGCTGGGCTGATGAGAAGGAGCTACTCTACAGCGAAGCTCTATGACTAGATAAATATCCACACAGCTGTCTGTCTCACAGCGAAGCTCTGTGACTGTAGATAAATATCCACACAGCTGTCTGTCTCACAGCGAAGCTCTGTGACTGTAGCTCAATATCCACCTGTCTCTGTATGTCTCACAGCAAAGCTCTGTGACTGTAGATAGATATCCACACTGCTGTCTGTCTCACAGCGAAGCTCTGTGACTATAGATAAATATCCACCTGTCTGTCTGTCTGTCTCACAGCTTCTGCTTGCACAAAAGCTTTTGATGATTTGTTCTGAGAAAGGGGAGGGGCTGTTTTTACATTCCAACAGTCTGGGGATACAGAGAGCGAGTGCTATGGGTGGCGCAGTGGTCTAAGGCACTGCATCGCAGTGCTAACTGTGCCACTAGAGATCCTGGTTCGAATCCAGGCTCTGTCGCAGCCGGCCGCGACCGGGAGACTCATGGGCGGCGCACAATTGGCCCAGCGTCGTCCAGGGTAGGGGAGGGAATGGCCGGCAGGGATGTAGCTCAGTTGATAGAGCATGGCGTTTGCAACGCCAGGGTTGTGGGTTCGATTCCCACGGGGGGCCAGTATAAAAAAATGTATTCACTAACTGTAAGTCGCTCTGGATAAGAGCGTCTGCTAAATGACTAAAATGTAATGTAAATGTTTGTCTTATAGCTTGGGCGAGGAGTTTCCTTACCTGGATAAATGATGGGCCATAGCTAGATTAATGTATTTAAGTTCAATAACTTAATCAAAGGTGAAAGGTCTCAAAAGTGTAGTCTTTGAAAAAGAGAACTGCATCCCACGTTTGACTGTTCAGGATATAAGAGGACTGCATCCCACCTGTGACTGTTCAGGATATAAGAGGACTGCATCCCACCTGTGACTGTACAGGATATAAGAGGACTGCATCCCACCTGTGACTGTACAGGATATAAGAGGACTCTATCCCATGTGTGACTACAGGATATAAGAGGACTGTATCCCATGTGTGACTGTACAGGATATAAGAGGACTGCATCCCATGTGTGACTGTACAGGATATAAGAAGACTGTATCACATGTGTGACTGTACAGGATATGAGGACTGCATCCCACCTGTGACTGTACAGGATATAAGAGGACTGCATCCCACCTGTAACTGTACAGGATATAAGAGGACTGTATCACATGTGTGACTGTACAGGATATGAGGACTGCATCCCACCTGTGACTGTACAGGATATAAGAGGACTGCATCCCATGTGTGACTGTAGAGGATATGATGAATTCCAGTAACAAACATTTACTGTGGTGCTTTTGTCTTGATACTCTGTTAATACATCATACCTGGAACTAACAAAGGAGGCTTTGTTTCTTTAATGTGAAACGTTAGCATCTTTCTATTTCCTTTCTTTTTAGTACCCTAAAAAAAGAGACCATATTTAGTTTACACAACAGTTGTTTATTGGAGGGATCAAGTCATTAAGACATTCCAGCAAACAGGAATGGTTACACACATGATGACTCATCTGCAGTGAGTTACAGTACAAGCACAAAAAACGGAAAACTCTGCCACAAGGGAATGTATTAAACATTAAGGAAAGGTGACGAGGGTAGTCTGCAGATAAACTTGACAGCTTGTTACCGTCGCTTCTCTCTCAGAAGGGAAAGGACTGGAGCGGAAGCGTAGAAGGGACTAAGGTGGCAGCAGCAGGGGCTGCAGTATTAAGAGTGAACGCCGTCTCCTGTTCCCCGGTTGTATTCAGTGTTTTTTGGAGCCGGCGACGCTCCGGTGGCTTAGCAGGGATGAGGAGGAGCACTTTGTTTCCCTGATCAGCGCTGGAATGTTCTGCCTGAGAGAGGATGGATGGCAGGTCACTCCGGCAGGTAGTAGAAGCAGACAGACACACAGATGTTACTAGGGAAGCAGATGTCTATACAGAAGTAGACCAGACGCTGTTTACCTGGACCTTCAGAGAGCGAGAGAGAGGGGAGAGGGTCTGTTAGTGAACAGGCAGTTTGCTAGAAAATACCAACAAAACCCCAATGTATGCAAGTCATAACTACCGCCTGCTAATGGATTCAGAGTAGCAAATTCATCCTCTTAAATAGTTGGCTATCAGTGCTCTCTGCTATAGTAAGAGTTAGATACTGTATTAGTGATCTACCTGCTATAGTTAGCTAGCAGTTGGCATAGCAGTGAGTTCAGCCTAAAGGTTGTGTTCCTTATTTACTGCTGCGTCACTGTAAAGGTGACACATCAACGTAGTTTATGATTATGTTTCTCACGCTGCTCTATTCTGGAAAGATCTGCCAACACACAGACAGGGAGCAAGGAACTTGTTTAACAAAAGGGCCCATGGTCTTTGCTTTGTATTAATTATGACTATTGACTTATACCAGAATTGAATAAAATTTGATCCACTTTAAAATAAAACGCTTCACAGTTTCATCTTTAATGCTTATGTCATTGTATAAATGCCAAGGCAAGTGAATGTGTATTTAGCATGTAGCTAATGATGTGAAAAAGGGTGGTAGTCTCACCGTCTTGTCTCCTGGTCCAGTGGATGGAGCTGTGTTGACACAGGGCCTGTAGAGGCTCCTCCAGGGTGGACATGTCCACTTTACTGCCCCCCATCACCCCCAGAAACTCTGTATGTCTCTGGGTCTCATTCCCCAACAACACCAACAGGCTCTCCTGGCAGGAGATGAACACATTTGTAATTGTAGGAACACATTATTATTATTGAGAATGATGAGAAAAAGCAACATGTACACCAGAGGAGTTATGATTGCACTGCTTGTGAAGTCAGCTCAATGGTTTTTCAAATGACAAATAAGTAACAACAAATAAAAATGGTGTAAATTAAGCTAGATTAGATATAACAATAGATTAGATGTAAGGATAGAATAGTTAAAAAGAGCTTTGGCAGACAAACTCAAGCTGCCATTATAATGCAGTATCTTTATTAGATCACTTCAGTGGTCTTTGCCAGGTTATATGCTCAACCCTGCATCATTCTGTCTCAGCTCTGGTCTCTCATTTGGCACAAAGGCCATTTAGTAATTGCACCATTTACACTATTGATGAGTCCGAAAGGGACCACTTAAAGTGCCGTTATGCCTGAGCGAACCTTCTAACAACCTGTTTCCCTCCACTCTAAAGAGCATTTTGCTGCAGAACAGAGAGATTGACCTCAGAAAGGCCCAGCCTTTCTATGTGGATGAAGTCTATCCAGTAAATCAGACGCTGAATGACCACAACCAGTGGTTCTGATGCTCAAGTCTAGTTCTATGAGACACTTGATACCATGCGAGTCAGAACTCAGACACAAACGACTGTTTCTATCAGATAGTATGAGAAAAGACAAACACTTAGGATTTTGGCATATTTCTCTTTTGAGCCAGCTATTCTATGTATGTAACTAAAGTCTATACAACCAATGAATGATTGAATGAGTCCAGCTGCACAGTGGCCCTTCACTATGAGTTAATTAACTAATGACATGAGAAGCTTCATCATACACAAGCTCTTGTGAATAAATGAATTAGCCTAGGCCTAAATTAGATAACCATAATGCAATCTGATATGAGCAAGTAATCATCTCATTAAGTAAAATAACTAATAAATAGCCAGCAAGGACACATCTAGATGTCATCATGGCCCTGTAGATACACAGTACCACAGCATAAAAGCAACCCATCCAATTCTGTAATGACCATTGACATTGACCACACATGACCAAAAAGCACACCTCATTAAAAGATGTCCACTGTCAGACTGGCCCTTCCCTCGCTAACCAACCATAGTCTCTCCTATTTCTCCAGCACAGCGAAGCCTTAACAAACCCAGGAGTCCCCAGACAGAGTGGCCATTGTGCAGGTCTGAGCCTCACTGCTGTCCCAACCTGTAAGGGGATCCAGGGGAGAGAGGGGGCTAGGAGGATCAGATGCCCTGAGGAATTCAGTCCTGGAGAGACTCACTACAATATAAGCATGTAAGGCCCTGTTCGGTCTATTGCCTCCCCTCCCCCTCTCTCTCTGGACTGGGAGAGGAGAGGGATGCCAAAATCAACACCCCTAAATCCATTAGGGTCTGGCTGGGCATGGAGAGGGAAACAGAGGTGGCACTAAGCTATGAGTCCCTTCCAATGATCCACCCCTGCTGCCAATTCACACATTAGCAGTAACAGTGACTCACCTCAGCTTCAATAAAACAAAGGTTGGTTCTGTGTTTTAGGTGTTTTTGAGAGTGGCTGACACAGTAGTTTGTTTCGGCATACCCTTTAGTTGTTGCCATGCCAATTTAAGTCCCAAGAGGACATATTTCCTCTGCATGGTAACTGAGACTCATATGACGTGAAATCCAAAGTAGTATGTTTCATACGCTGTTATAAATTGAAAGAGTGACCATCTTTACCTGTTGCGTTGATTGCTGGAGGAAGGAGTGCACATTTTCATAATCTGATCTCTCCATTTTACGCAGGAAGCAAGTATCCTGGTTCTCAGGCTTGTAACATATCAAACCCTGCACAAACGTGAGTCAGTTCAGTGAAGTGTTGTTGAAAACCGAAACAAGAAACAGCCATACAAATAGAAAGGTCACTGCAGGTAGTCTCAGTTCAATATACTTTCGAAACAAAAAGAAAAGTCTTCCTACATGTTTGACATCAAAGAGCACGGTGGAGGTGTGGTTGGCCTGTGAGGTCACAGAATAGGTCACCAGGTTGTTGTGCTTGTCCACCAATGCTGATCGGTTGATCAGGGTTCCAGTCTGATCCGGAACTGTGATTCTGACAACCTGTAAAGACTACAGTAGAGGGATAGGTTTACTCAATGTAAACTCACTATCAACATTGTGATTGTGCAAGTGTGAGCGAATAGTTTGTCCATCAACTAGAGTCGTGTGCTTCTATGTTTGATTGGGCTACAGCAACTCATAGCTTAAATGCCAGTTACAGTTCCGTCAGGTGAATCAGATGTGAGTTGCGTCTCCTACCTCTGCGTCGGGCTGTCTGAGCCATAGATGCCCCGTGACGCTGAGGGCGATGATGCCGAGGAGGAGAGTGGCACTGAGAGTCACCCAGAATGCCTTGTGTGAGAACCGGCGGGACACTGCTGGACCCTCGTCCTGAGGAGAGGAGACCATTCACAACGACAGCTTATCACAATCTACATAGTCATTCTCGCCTGGGTGGGTGTCTGACTGTTTCTCAAATTCAACAATATTGTTGACTTCAACAACACATTTGCTACAGCGGAAATGACAACACCTATACTCTCTATGAGTACAGCACAAATAACATCACAACTAAAGAATCCTAATTTCGCCACAGATCATTTAAAGCACCAGAGAGGTACAGATGAATCCCACTCCTACCATGCATTGTGAGTCCTCCAACCTGCCCGTTTCTGAGCGTTTCCAGCACCTCACCATCCTGCGTACCGTGACTTCTCCTCTCTCACTCTCACTTCACCCTTCTCTCAGCTATCTGCATCGAGCTGTGGTCATGACCAGCACTGAGACACTCAGCGATACACCTGGCCAACTTCTCTCTCTCCAGACCTCCCTCCCTCCGCCCGCACACAGACGCACATGGGTGACAGGCCTACCCTCACCCCAGACAATGGACAAAGGGGTGAGACAAACTCACCTCTGTGGACAGGCTCTGTCATCAGCCAGGGCAGGGTGATATGAGGAACGGACTGAAGGACCGTCCAGTCGATGAAAGGCCAAGGTGACTTTAAGAGCTGCCGTGTTAATAACACCAAGGTCCAGCGCAGCCCGCTGTGTTGAAGTGAGGCTTTGATTTTGGAAAAAGTATGTGTTTATTTATTTTTTATCAGTGTTTGATTGACTTGAGTGAATACTGTTGTCAAGGACAGAGGATGATAATTTGATTATTGTATTGGCAGAACAGACAATGTTTTTAATGTATTATAGACACTAAGTTCCTAAGAAGACTTACATTACATTTGATTTCATTAAACACACTTAACAAGAGAATTGATTATTGTGCAAACCCATAACCTTCAAATTGAATGGGAACTAATCAAATGTAGTTATAGCTTTACATTTCCAATATATCAAGATACAATATAAGAGTATAAGCCAGTTTTGAAGCATACATCCTCAGATGAATGGGTAATGTAAACTGCAATAAACACAACTCAGCATTGGTACAGGGAACATGACAGTGGACAATATAAGATGTATCATTCCTGATTCATTGTCAGTGCACTCCAGTATTGTGTAATTCTGCATAGCTCTTTGCCTTAGATCAATATTTAGTGACATGTGATTGCAACTGTATGCACACAGACGAGGGAAATACCCAAAGGGAGTGTGTACACATTTCCCCTGACGTGCTTGAGATCCTTGCTACAGCAAAGGATACAGGTCCTTCTTCCTCTTCACCCACACAGCACATATACTTTTCTCTACCATTTCCTGAACTCATCTGAAAAAATCTAAAACCATTTATCAACACTGGAAAATCAGAAGTGGCTAACTCTCGTCCTGGAGAACTTCTGGATGTGTAGGGCAGGTTTTTGTTCCAGCCCTGCGATTTGTTTCCTTTTTTTGCTGCTGAATCTATGTGGTGCGTTGCAGCAGGGCTGGAACAAAGGCTTGCACACCCAGTAGCACGCCAGGAGTCGTCGGCTACACTTGCTGTAAATCTTGAATATCTATTCAGCCATCAACCATAGCATACTGTAGTTAAAATAACTTTAATCTACACTGAGCAAAAATATAAACGCAATATTTCAAAGAATTACTTAGTTACAGTTCATATGAGGAAATTAGTCAATTGAAATAAATTCATTAGGCCCTAATCTATGGAGTACACGACTGGGAATACAGATATACATCCCAAACATGCGCAATAGGTGACATGTCTGGTGAGAATGTAGACCATGGAAGAACTGGGACATTTTCAGAACATTCAATTCTCTGGCAATAGCTCTGGTGGACATTCCTGCAGTCAGCATGCCAATTGCATGCTCCCTCAAAACTTGAGACATTTGTGTCAGTATATATATATATATTTATTTGTTCAGTGTAGTTTGTGTTCCGCAGTCTTAGTATTATAGAAGCGGTTGATTGATTCTCTGTACCTTCCTGAATTTTCACATCCATAACCTGGAAACATACAGGGATTTCATACGCACACAGTCCTTAACAGTCCTTTATAATTAATCAATTTGAATGATCATCAATCCAGGCTTAAGTCTCACTGAGATAAAAACCTATTAAGACCTGACTGGTTATCCTTGTAGAGCAGGTAGGAGCTCTGCAATACTCTCCACATAGTAGTCAGGCACCATCGCCAGGCGCTCCGGACAGCCACTCTCCTGATGGGCCTCAACGTCAGCCACAGTGGATACCCCGGTCAGGGTTAGCAGGGTCTTCAGGCCACAGTTGGACCCCAGAAGGATGTCCGTGTCCAGCCGGTCCCCCACCATGAGGCAGCGGGCACTGTCCAGGCCGAACTGGCTTGCCACACAGTCGTACATGAAGTGGTTGGGCTTGCCCACAGTCTGGGCCTGGCGTTGGGCTGCGATCTCCACAGCCTTCAGGATGCAGCCTGTCCCTGGGGGAGACAGAGAGAAGAGGACAACACATTCAGTGTTGTTGACACTTGAACATACAGTAACAGAGATGAAAGATCTGACTTGGGGCAGTGGAAAACCCCTCATGGCTCGCTGTACACTACTACAGATCATTAACACAACATTCATGTACAGTGGGGAAAAAAAGTATTTAGTCAGCCACCAATTGTGCAAATTCTCCCACTTAAAAAGATGAGAGAGGCCTGTAATTTTCATCATAGGTACACGTCAACTATGACAGACAAATTGAGAGAAAAAATCCAGAAAATCACATTGTAGGATTTTTTATGAATTTATTTGCAAATTATGGTGGAAAATAAGTATTTGGTCACCTACAAACAAGCAAGATTTCTGGCTCTCACAGACCTGTAACTTCTTCTTTAAGAGGCTCCTCTGTCCTCCACTCGTTACCTGTATTAATGGCACCTGTTTGAACTTGTTATCAATATAAAAGACACCTGTCCACAACCTCAAACAGTCACACTCCAAACTCCACTATGGCCAAGACCAAAGAGCTGTCAAAGGACACCAGAAACAAAATTGTAGACCTGCACCAGGCTGGGAAGACTGAATTTGCAATAGGTAAGCAGCTTGGTTTGAAGAAATCAACTGTGGGAGCAATTATTAGGAAATGGAAGACATACAAGACCACTGATAATCTCCCTCGATCTGGGGCTCCACGCAAGATCTCACCCCGTGGGGTCAAAATGATCACAAGAACGGTGAGCAAAAATCCCAGAACCACACGGGGGGACCTAGTGAATGACCTGCAGAGAGCTGGGACCAAAGTAACAAAGCCTACCATCAGTAACACACTACGCCGCCAGGGACTCAAATCCTGCAGTGCCAGACGTGTCCCCCTGCTTAAGCCAGTACATGTCCAGGCCCGTCTGAAGTTTGCTAGAGTGCATTTGGATGATCCAGAAGAGGATTGGGAGAATGTCATATGGTTAGATGAAACCAAAATAGAACTTTTTGGTAAAAACTCAACTCGTCGTGTTTGGAGGACAAAGAATGCTGAGTTGCATCCAAAGAACACCATACCTACTGTGAAGCATGGGGGTGGAAACATCATGCTTTGGGGCTGTTTTTCTGCAAAGGGACCATGACGACTGATCCGTGTAAAGGAAAGAATTAATGGGGCCATGTATCGTGAGATTTTGAGTGAAAACCTCCTTCCATCAGCAAGGGCATTGAAGATGAAACGTGGCTGGGTCTTTCAGCATGACAATGATCCCAAACACACCGCCCGGGCAACGAAGGAGTGGCTTCGTAAGAAGCATTTCAAGGTCCTGGAGTGGCCTAGCCAGTCTCCAGATCTCAACCCCATAGAAAATCTTTGGAGGGAGTTGAAAGTCTGTGTTGCCCAGCGACAGCCCCAAAACATCACTGCTCTAGAGGAGATCTGCATGGAGGAATGGGCCAAAATACCAGCAACAGTGTGTGAAAACCTTGTGAAGACTTACAGAAAACGTTTGACCTGTGTCATTGCCAACAAAGGGTATATAACAAAGTATTGAGAAACTTTTGTTATTGACCAAATACTTATTTTCCACCATAATTTGCTAATAAATTCATTAAAAATCCTACAATGTGATTTTCTGGATTTTTTTTACGTGTACCTATGATGAAAATTACAGGCCTCTCTCATCTTTTTAAGTGGGAGAACTTGCACAATTGGTGGCTGACTAAATACTTTTTTCCCTACTGTATATGAGCACTACGGCCTCTGCCACAGAGGTCTCGTCCGCTGTGGCAGAGATGGTGCACACACCACGAACAGTTACATTTTACATTTACATTTTAGTCATTTAGCAGACGCTCTTATCCAGAGCGACTTACAGTTAGTGAGTTACCACAGTCTTGTTGGTTCATACTCTTGTTGTCTCTGCACATAAAACATCCTCTTTACCTGGGACAGCTTTGCCTCCTTCCAGGGGCAGTCTGGTGTCAGTGTTGGTTCCCACTAGTAGACAGTCAGGGTTGTTGAGGTACTGCAGGGCTCTGTTCAGTTTCATGTAACTGAAGTGTTCATCAAACCCAACAACCACAGCCTTCACCTCAGGGTCCAGGGGCACGTTGGGCCAATCCATCTGGACACCTGATATATGATCAGGCCCCACACCTGTCTGCTGGATCCCAACCTTCTCTAGTTCCTGCCTCATCGCATTGCTTCCTATGAGATACACTTTGCCCTGTAGTTTTGAGACCTTTTTGAGGTACATTGCTGAGCAGTACGCCGTTCCAAACACATCATCCTCTGTCGCGTTGAATCCCATCAATGCCAGTTTGTCTGCATACATCTTTCTAGTTTTAGTGCTGTTGTTGGTGACGAAAAACACTTTCTTTCCATTCTTCTTGAGCAGGTTGATAACGTCTGGGGCGCCAAGGATGACCTGATCCCCTCGCCAGATAACACCATCACAGTCGAAGAGGACACTGTCCACAGAATTAAGCATTTGCTTAATCAACGGACCGCTCAGACGGGTACATTTTGACACATCCATTGGGAAAACGTGTGCGTGCTGTCAACTACCGGTACCTCTTGTTGCTAGATCAGTCAGTGTCCAAAAATAACCGGCTAGCTAACGTTACTGTAGGCTACCACTTGCTTGCAGACTACCCACGATGTTTAGCGCAAAATATACGATAACAATCTCCCCCCAAAGAATATGACATTCAATTAAAGCACGAGTACTATTTCGTGTGATCTTGTAGTTGAATAATTGTGTCTTCAATCATGTTTTATTGCTAAGTTTAGCGAAGCGTTTCCTGACCTTCTAGCATTGCATCAAATCCATACTGTAACACACTTTCGCACCAGTTTAAAGCGGCAGGAACATCCATGGGTCGTCACTAATTAACCCAGCCACAAAGTCATAATTCTGGCTAACCCCCGCACATTTCTACAATTTGTCATCTTCACATCTGATTTTAAACCTAACCTTAACCACACTGCTAACCTTATGCCTAACCCTAAACTTAAATTAAGATCAAAAAGCGAATTATTTAAGACAATTGTGACCTGTGGAATCTGACTTTGTGGCTGTGTTATCTATCTCTTCCGGGTTCCGGTAATCTCGTCCACTAGCCGGCTCTCTGTCTATATCGGTTAGCAATTGAGCCAGGGGACGAGGTTAGGTTCCTTGTGGGTCAATTTGTGCAAGCAGCGAGCAAAGCTCGATATGCTTTTTTCTGTGTACACACGGCAATCATTGAATTTAATGACTTGTTGGTATGATAATATGATTAAGCATCCTTGCTTCCTCTAATACACAATGATAGACCAATCTGCAATGCATTCATCCCAAGGGACAGACACCAGCCTGGGAAAAAGTGTAAAGAGAAGCTTTATTGCCAGATAGAAAAATATGGTTAAAATTCCCCAAAACCCACATACCAACAACAATATATTTCCCCCCCCCAAAAATAATAATACATACATTCAGTAGTGTAGTAGACAGTGTATCAGCCTCTGTCAAACTCAATCGTCTTTTTTCTGCACATCATGGAGGGAACAATTCACACAACAGTATGTGCATCCATCTTAAGATACACTATATATACACACAGCAGTATCTGCATCCATCTTAAGATCTCCCGAGTGGAGCAGTGGTCTAAGGCACTGCATTTCAGTGCTTGAGGTGTCACTACAGACCCCCTGGTTGGATTCCAGGCTGTTTCACAACCGGCCGCGATTGGGAGTCCCATAGGGCGGCACACAATTCGCCCAGCGTCGTCCGGGTTTGTATCTTAAAATATACTATATACACACAGCAGTATGTGCATCCATCTTAAGATACACTATATATACACACACACAGCAGTACGTGGACACCCCTTCAAATTAGTGGATTCTATTTCAGCCACACCCATTGCTGACAGGTATATAAAATCGAGCACACAGCCAAGCAATCTCTAAAGACAAACATTGGCAGTAGAATGGCCTTACTGAAGAGCTCAGTGACTTTCAACATGGCACCGTCATAGGGTGCCACCTTTCCAACAAGTCAATTTTCTGCCCTGCTAGAGCTGCCCCGGTCAACTGTAAGTGCTGTTATTGTGATGTGGAAATGTCTAGGAGCAAAACCGTCTCAGCCGCAAAGTGGTAGGCCACACAAGCTCACAGAATGGGATCGCCAACTGCATAAAAATTGTCTGTCCTCAGTTGCAACACTCACTACGGAGTTCCAAACTGCCTCTGGAAGCAACATCAGCACAATAACTGTTCGTCTGAGATTCATGAAATGGGTTTCCATGGCTGAGCAGCCGCACACAAGCCTAAGATCACCATGCGCAATGCCAAGCGTCGGCTGGAGTGGTGTAACGCTCACCGCCATTGGACTCTGGAGCAGTGGAAACGTGTTCTCTGGAGTGATGAATCACATTTCACCATCTGGCAGTCCGACGGATTCATCTGGGTTTGGCGGATGCCAGGAGAACGCTACCTGCCCCAATGCATAGTGCCAACTGTAAAGTTTGGTGGAGGAGGAATAATGGTCTGGGGCTGTTTTTTATGGTTCCAGTGAAGGGAAATCTTAACGCTACAGCATACAATGACATTCTAGATGATTCTGTTCTTCCAACTTTGTGGCAACAGTTTGGAGAAGGCCATTTCCTGTTTCAGCATGACAATGCCCCTGTGCACAAAGCGAGGTCCATACAGAAATGGTTTGTTCGAGATTGGTGTGGCAGAACTTGACTGGCCTGCACAGAGCCCTGACCTCAACCCCATCGAACACCTTTGGGATGAACTGGAATGCCAACTTCGAGCCAGGCCTAATCGCCCAACATCAGTGCCGGATCTCACTAAAGCTCTTGTGGTTGAATGGAAGCAAGTCCCCACAGCAATGTTCCAACATCTAGTGGAAATCCTTCTCAGAAGAGTGGAGGCTGTTATAACAGCAAAGGGGGGAACAACTCCATATTAATGCCCATGATTTTGAAATGAGATGTTTAACGAGCAGGTGTCTACATATACTACGTTACCAAAGGTACCCCAGGTTTCTAAGCACCTCTCTACTATAGAACCACCTTTTGGACTGGTCAGAGGCTAGCGGACTACAGAAGTGGTCAGGTGAGGGGTGGCAGTGCTGGCAAACGTTCCCTCGTCCCTTGTACCACTCGTTGGAGGTCTGGTTGACCACAGCTAGGTAGGTGTGGAACATGGCATAGCCTGCCAAGAGCAGGAACACGAAGACCAGGAAGCATGAAGACGATCCTGAGGAAAGTCAGGAACAGGTGCTGGGGAGAGACAGAGGAAATACAGTGCATTCGGAAAGTATTCAGACCCCTTGACTTTTTCCACATTTTGTTACGTTACAGCCTTATTCTAAAATTGATTAAATTGTTGTTTTCCCTCATCCATCTACACACAATACCCCATAATGACAAAGCAAAAACAGGTTTTTAGACATTTTTGCAAATGCATATAAAAAATAAATAAATAAATATCATATTTACATAAGTATTCAGACCCTTTCCTCAGTACTTTGTTGAAGCACCTTTGGCAGCGATTACAGCTTAGATTCTTCTTGGGTATGACGCTACAAGCTTGGCACACCTGTATTTGGGGAGTTTCTCCCATTCTTCTCTGCAGATCCTCTCAAGCTCTGTCAGGTTGGATGGGGAGCGTCGCTGCACAGCTATTTTCAGGTCTCTCCAGAGATGTTAGATCGGGTTCAAGTCCGAGCTCTGGCTGGGCCACTCAAGGACATTGAGAGACTTGTCCCGAAGCCACTCCTGCATTGTCTTGGCTTTGTGCTTAGGGTCGTTGTCCTGTTGGAAGATTAACCTTCACCCCAGTCTGAGGTCCTGAGCGCTCAGGAGCAGGTTATCATCAAGGATCTGTCTGTACTTTGCGCTGTTCATCTTTCCCTTGATGCTGACTAGTCTCCCAGTCCCTGCTGCTGAAAAACATCCCCACAGCATGATGCTGCCACCACCATGCTTCACCGTAGGGATGGTGCCAGGTTTCTTCCAGACGTGACGATTGGCATTCAGGCGTTCAATCGTGGTTTCATCAGACCAGATTGGTGGAATGCTGCAGAGATGGTTGTTCTCCTGGAAGGTTCTCATCTCCACAGAGGAACTCTGGAGCTCAGTCAGAGTGACCATCAGATTCTTGGTCACCCCCCTGACCAAGGCCCTTCACCCCCGATTGCTCAGTTTGGCCGGGCGGCCAGCTCTATGAAGAGTCTTGGTGGTCACAAACTTCTTCCATTTAAGAATGATGGAGGCCACTGTGTTCTTGGGGACCTTCAATGCTGCAGAAGGTTGTTGGTACCCTTCCCCAGATCTGTGCCTTGACACAATCCTGTCACGGAGCTCTACGGACAATTCCTTCGACCTCATGGCTTGGTTTTTGCTCTGACATGCACTGTCAACTGTGGGACCTTATATAGACAGGTGTGTGCCTTTCCAAATCATGTCCAATCAATTGAACATCCTCTTGTCACATGGGTATGCCTGGAGCTGGCCTGCATGTCGCTTCTTTGTTACTGTACCTACAGAGAAAGAGAGTACTTCATTTAATTAATGGTGGGATTGTATTGCACATAACAATGTGCATCCATAAGCATTTAGAAACAGATCAACAGCAGCCTGTTCAGGAAGGTATGATTTTCCTCAGGAGGGAACTTAACAGAATGTTCACTTCAGATAGTAATGTATTATGTCGATGGTCTGGGTTGTAGTTGACTTACCAGGATCCCTTCTAATGCAGAGCAGGATTCGACCACCAGTAGAACTAAAGGCACTGATAGGCTGGTGAGAGTGGTGTCCATGTCCTTGCAGTATCCAAACACCTCATAGGTGATCTCTGTGTACACGGCCCCCTCCAGAAAGATATGGAAATAGATAAACATGCTGTTCCTATGAGGAGAGACAATGGCAAACAGTTGGACCGTATGTTTTTTAATCTATTCAATAGAACAACAATTTCTAAAAACAATGTGATTTCCAAGTAGTTCACTCACCGTTGATGAAATAGCACAAAGTCCTCTGTGTAAACCTTTGAAACCATAGTGGTGTCCAAGATGGTATTACCTGTCATAAAAGTCTCCCGAGTGGCGCAGTGGTCTAAGGCACTGCATCGCAGTGCTAGCTGTGCCACTAGAGATCCTGGTTCGAATCCAGGCTCTGTCGTAGCCGGCCGCGACCGGGAGACCCATGGGGCGGTGCATAATTGGCCCTATGTCGTCCAGGGTAGGGGAGGGAATGGCCGGCAGGGATGTAGCTCAGTTGGTAGGGCATGGCGTTTGCAACGCCAGGGTTGTGGGTTCAATTCCCACGGGGGGCCAGTATGAAAAATACAAAAATAATGTATGCACTAACTGTAAGTCGCTCTGGATAAGAGCGTCTGCTAAATGACTAAAAATGTAAATAAAAATTATGATTATGGCTCTAATGACAATGGTGCTATAGCACCACCTTGTGTACGGTTCTAGAACTGCAGAACTCTGGCACAGTCTGTACGTCTTACCTTTGCTCGTCACCCAGTCGAAAA